GGAACCAAGGGAGCCACTGGACTGCGTGGAAACAAAGAAGAAAGTGGTTTAATAGATTATTCCAGGGTTGATGAAACAATAACAAGAAAATTCAATGAACGTGAGTGCTTTCTAAATAGAATAGGTATTATTAGTTCCATGTTCCGTATACGATCTTCTATTGCTGTTTTTTTTACTGTTATGAACAAAAATAATGTGTTGGAATCATTTTAGAAATGATTTATGGCATAAAAAATGGAGTTAGACGCTTTATAAACATTTCATTAATACAACTGAGGAGGCTAGAAATATATGAGGAAGCAGAACGGATTTGATGCAGATCTTCTATTTATTTAAGAAATACATACTCTCAGTGCCAGATTGGAGAAACTTGGAGAAATGATCACAAACTTGAATAAGAAGACGTCAGGTGAATTCTACACCTATGTGTATATAGTAAACATAGTGGTGTTTTTAGCAATTTGATGATAAAAAAAGAGTTGGAATAATTTTTCTAATACAATTGTATCAATACTGTGTTGTATCGCAGTGGTTACATAATATTGTATGAATTTCCTCCCATCGCCAATATTGGAACTCCCTCCCTCCCTTTATTTCTCCCGCACTGTGCATGAAAACTACTTTATTTACTCAATCTTGTGGATTATTAGACATGTAATGGACATAACGATCGTTTTGTTGTTATGTTGTTCTTGTTTTACTTTGACACGTTTTGAAGAAATCGCTTTTCTCTCTGATTGGACCAAGTGCTTGGAAATTTTCAGGGAGTAAAAACTATATTTTTGCTAGAGGGCTAATACTTTTATTTTTTGCTATGACGTCATCGGAATTATGTGGTTCTACGTGTCCATATATTTGAGCATAGCTCTCTTGTTATCTAGTATTATGCACAAGTCGATCTCCCGATTTTGTAAAGTTAATTCTCAATGTGTGAATAAATGACTGACGTATCGGCTCAGATTTAATGCCAATACATGTACCGCTTCTCATATCGTTTATGAAAGCCGATTTGCAATTGTAGTGAATTGAAGTTTTTTTAATAGAAAATGATTTCGTTATTATCAGCAGCATTATGAAACACTTCTTTTATTTGTTTTTGGGGTTCATTTAGGAAAAACAGAAGCATCTCCGACAGCAGATTGCACCAACAAGTGGAACATTGAACGTAATCAATATTAATTCACTGATTTTTAACATTCATAAGGCTATATCGAGTTTAATCTGGATTCAGGTTTCAATTGACAAATAGTTTTGAAACCAATCTTTACCAAATTGCTGAGACTAGTATTTTCAATTAATTTAAGGATCAAATGGCCAATATATTCCCTAAACCTAACTATATTGTTTACTAATTCGGTGCAATGTACGAGGACTACTGAAAGATCATGCTTAAACGTTTTAATAAATCCTTTAATTTTATATATATACAAAATAAGCTAATTTTTCTATTTATTTCTTTTCTACTAACATTCCTTTAGCTGCGGATTACATGTATATAGGCTGTTACAAAGAACAAACGCCGTGGCAGGGAACCCGTGTTGTTACGCCAGTTGAAGGGAGATTTCCGACTGTTACGGGAAACTATGGAGCCAGAACCAATGCGATAGAAAAATGTGCAAAGGTTGCTTGGTGCTTGGGATATAAAGTATTCGTGCTTCAACATAGTGGATGGTAATGTAGAATTTATTCAAAATACATAGAAATAAGGCATGCCTTTCAAAAATATTATAATCGATCAAATTCGTCTACCAGGAAAAGACATTAAAAATATCATTAGCAGGAGTTTTGCCATTTTACCTCGCTATCATTTGTGTTTCATCAAACCAATTGCAACAGAAATTGTATTTCGATGTTTTGAACCGGTTTCTGTAATGAACATAAGACTGAATCATTTCTTTCATCTGATCGTTGTAAACTTGAAAATATTGAATACTGACTCTCTGAATGTCACCTTTATATTATACGCGCAGAACATGATGAGATTCATAAGTGAACTGTCAACGAGCAGCATTTAGTAGTATAACACAACAATATATTTTTACATGAATCTTTCTGTTAATAGGTATTTACTTGAGCCCGATTGCTGGTGGCCTATCTTTTAAACTAAAATCTATTAACATCGTTATAAACGACTCAACCTCATACCCTCAAAATTATTTCATTGCTTAATCAGTTTTTTTTAGGCACAATATAATAAATGCAATTTAATTGTCGAAGAAATTTCCCACAATTTGCGGTATTTATAGCGTTTTCGCCAAATATTCGGCGATAAAGATTGAAGTTTTTTGAAAAAAATTGTTATATAATACAGGATAACCCCTGGTTATTCAGTTCAACTCATTTTCAGGTGTGCAACATATGTGGCAAATATGGGTCATCACCTACCTGCGCCCAAGACGGAGAAGGAGCTGGTATGACAAATGCAGTGTATATGATAATTGGATAAAATAAGTCTACAGCTTGATGTAACACAGAGTTTTGGTAATTTGAGTTAGGATTACCGTATTTTATCGGGAGAGGACGATGACGGCTTGATCATAATTACGTGGCTAACCGCGGCCGGTTACCGCTCCATGTCGGGTATGGGAATTTTTGTCCGGTTACCACTCAATGTCGGGTATAGGAATAGTTAACCAGTTATTCGTTTCAGATGCAGACTTGATAGTGAGAGAAGTCGTAACTGATCAGCGATTACGTGGGCACCCAACGACGGCGAAAAGATCAGCGACCCTCTCGTACTTAATTATTCCCACGAACTTCCAACCTTCGCAAGGTCTAATGGTAGGCATGTTCCTAACACTCAGAACGATGTACGAACCACCGAATCAGTGTAGGTTGTGTAACGATATTGCAGGGTTTGCAGATCTTTGATTTTCATAAACCAAGATTATACTGAATGATTTTCTATCCTGTATTATTATTCGCAGTGCATGTATCCCATTATACCGACACGGAATGTGCCACCGCTGTGAAGCTAGTAGAATTTGACCTTTGTGTGCGGCGAGGCGAAAAGGTTAAAATTCTTGGCAGAATTGTAGGCGTGTCATTATTTACAACTGAAAAGATGTAGACAGGTAAAATTAACATAACCAAAAAGGAAAGATATTTATTAAATAAAACTAAAATTACCATTTACAAAGCAAAAGCATTAATTGCTTGGTAAATAAAGCATAATAAATAGTTAGCAACTATTTTTTTATAAATATCCCGTAATGATTATGCCTTTATTCATCAAAATTACGTAAAGCGAAAACGGGTTAAATTTTGCAATTTTCAAATATTAATAGAAATACCTTCCTCAAGAGGCACGCGATTTTATAATTTCATATCAAAGTAGAATATATTAAGTTTATCACACACATTGAACCTAAAACTACTCGAACTTAGAAAATGGAGTACTCCCTTGTTGAAGATACCCCTATTACTCGAAATTACGTGAAACGTAAAAATGGTTAAATTTCGCAATTTTCAAATATTAACAGAAAGTCCTTCCGCTCAAGAGGCACGCGATTTTTATACTTCATATCAAAGTAGAATATATGAAGTTTATCACACACATTAACCTAAAACTACTCAAACTTAGAAAAGGGAGTACTCCCCTGTTGAAGGTACCCCTTTTTTATCAAAATTACGTAAAGCGAAAAAGGGTTAAATTTTGCAATTTCAAATATTAATAGAAATATGTTCCGGCTCAAGAAGCACGCGATTTTATAATTTCATATCAAAGTAGAATATATAAAGTTTATCACACACATTGAACCTAAAACTACTCGAACTTAGAAAAGAGAGTACTCCCCTGTTGAAGATACCCCTTTTTATCAAAAATTATGTAAAGCGAAACGGGTTAAATTTTGCAATTTTCAAATATTAATAGAAAAGTCCTTCCGCTCAAAGAGGCACGCGATTTTATAAATTCATATCAAAGCAGAATATATGAAGTTTATCACACACATTGAACCTAAAACCACTCAAACTTAAAAAAAAGGAGTACTCCCCTGTTGAAGATACACCTTTTCATCAAAATTACGTTAAGCGAAAAAGCGGTAAATTTTGCAATTTTCAAATATTAATAGAAATATCTTCCGCTCAAAGAGGCACGCGATTTTATAATTTCATATCAAAAGTAGAATATATGAAATTTATCACACACATTGAATCTAAAACTACTCCGAACTTAGAAAAGGGAGTACTCCCCTGTTGAAGATACCCCCTTTTCATCAAAGGTGCTCACACGAATTTTAAATAAAAAGCAAAAGTTGGGCGAAATATGGTATAAAAATTTTTCAAGTAATAGTATTTAGTGACTACTTCCATCTTTAATAACTGAAAATTTGAATTTGGGTTGAATCCTTAGCAACGGAGAAAAGTTATTATTGACGGTTATCATCACAATTAAAAATGAATGACAAATTGGGGACTGAATCTTCTGCGGATGGGCTCTGGGGTTAGTCGAGGTCGCGAAGACTACGCTTTCGTACAGGTGCTACGAAAGATTGGATACCGATACCCGCAATACTTCGCTTTCGTGTTCATATATTTGAGCATTGCTCTTTATTATTATTATTATTGGACTCGAAATAGGCCTATGGGTTGTTTTGTTATCATGTTTGTTGTTGCTCTTTTTGTTAGCATTTTCCCCCTGGTTATGAAAAATTGGCTTTTCTGGAACCGTTAAAAACTCTGTCAAGTGCATCTAATAGCATCGTTCACTTGAACCTCATAGTAATAAACTAGTAAGCCGAACGACGCCAAGTTTGCCGCGCCCCGCCTGCGCCGCTATTCATTTGGAACCGTAAGTAAATATTACAGCTTACATCAATTTTATCAATGTTGCGCGATGTTTTTTTAAAACGCGCGAACGCAACATTTTGACATCAATGAAAGTATTCTCTGTGGGTACGGCGTCCATATGACCCACAGATGGGATAAAACTATAGAAAATTTTTTTTTTTTAACTATTATAGGATGTAAAGCAATTTTTTATGCTTAGTCTGGCTACGAACAACTATGGGAACTTGTTTTTCGTCTCGCTGGAATTCCTGCTGTTGTTTGGCTGGGCTGATTGTTATTGCAAATAGAAAATAATTTCGAGTGCCACGAGTCTCTGAAGTAATGTTCAATATTAATATATATAGAATAGATTACCAAACAGTCATGCATTTACAATTAGTTAATCTCACTGGCTTGTTGCTTCTGGCAAATTTCGGGTTTTGTCAGGACACTATATCACGCCAACAGACGTGTCAAAGGTTGAATAATGTGTTTCAAAGCATATGCCACGATACACCATTGCCAATTTCGGCGAGAAATCAAGGTATACCCGGGAAGAGAGGACCCAAAGGAAACATGGCGCCACTGGACAGCGTGGAAATAAAGGAGAAAGTGGTGTAGTAGATTATTCCAGAGTTAATGAAACAATATCGAGAAGATTCAATGAGCGTGAGTGAAATATCATACATATAAGCTAAAAATGAGGTCTCTGAATGATGTTGTTTTCTTTAATTTAATGAACCGTATGCAATATTTTAGTGCTTGGTTGTGTTTCGTTCATGGAGTTAAACAAAAATAATGTATTGTTGATATTTTAGGAATGATAAGATATGAATGATGTCCATGACTTTATGGCCTATATTCTTTTACATAATCTTGTAATTTATAGAAAAACATGGGATATATTTAATCCAAATCTTCTCTTTATTTTAGAAATACATACCCTCAATGCTAGACTGGAAAAACTTGAAGAGTCAGGTAAATTCCCCATCTAAAAATGTATGACTGGAAAACTAACGTATTAGTTATTTAGCATGTTAAAGATGCTGAGCAAGACATTGAAGTAAGCTTTTTAAATTGATATCAATCCTATGCAAATAGAAGTATTGCATCGGATACCTCTAAATTAACATATTACACATCCCTCATTTTGTTTATAAAAGTTGATTCTTTTTGATTGGCTAAGGTTTGAAACCAAGTATATATATAAAGTTTCTATTGAGCGGGAATAACTTTGTGATTATCATCAAAATTCTAATACATTTCTTTTATTGGACACGTTTAGTGGCCATAACGATCGTTTCAAAATTTTGTTGTTATTGTTATTTGTCTCCGTCTCCATTTTTAAAAAATCGCTTTCCTCTTCGAATACTGGACCAATTGCTTTGATATTTTCAGTGGTTAAAGATAAAATTCTATTCCAGAAGGCTATTACTTTTTTTTTTCGCTATGACGTCATCAAAATTATTGTCACTGGGTGTCCTACGTGTCCATATATTTGAGCATAGCTCTCTTGTTGTTATTTGTCTCCGTCTCCATTTTTAAAAAATCGCTTTTCTCTTCGAATACTGGACCAATTGCTTTGATATTTTCAGTGGTTAAAGATAAAAAAATTTCCAGAAGGGTATTACTTTTTTTTTTCGCTATGACGTCATCAAAATTATTGCCATTGGGTGTCCTACGTGTCCATATATTTGAGCATAGCTCTCTTGTTTTTAGGACAAACTGGAGCATCCCCGACAGCAGAGTGTACCAACAAATGGGACACTGAACGTAAGTATTTTTGAATCAATTCGGATAAGATTTGTGAATCTTTCAATGGTTAGATCGGTGTTTTCAACCGGGATTACGCGGCAACCTACGGTTTCGCCGGTACAGTCCCGGGGTTCCACAGGTTTCCATTTAAATCCGATGGTCGAAAATCATACATATGTATTTTGTTTAAATATAATCAAATATCTATTTTTTTTGCCAATATTGGGTTTGCTTTATATATATACATTTATAATTCAGATAATAAAAGACAAGTGAACTCATGTACTGGGTAAGCTACCGCGGGTCTCTGGAATGTTTCATTGGGATTCCGTATCACCGAAAATTTGCTATTTTGGAAGTTTTTTCTATCTATTTTTTCCAACCAACATTTCTTTAGCTGCGGATTACATGTATATCGGCTGTTACAAAGAAGAAACTCCGTGGCAGGGTAATCTTATTGTGACGCCAGTTGAAGGGAGATTTCCGACTGTTACGGAATTTTATCGTCACAGAACCAATGCGATAGAAAAATGTGCAAAGGTTGCTTGGTGCTTGGGATATAGAGTATTCGTGCTGCAAGATGGTGGATGGTAATGTAGAATTTGTTCACTGTACAAAATCGTGAATACGACTCGCTCAGTCGCTAATATTCACTAAATATTGAAATATTAAAGTAGTTTTTATGCAAAGTTAGGGAGGAATGAATAATTCCAAAATAGGTGAGGTGGGAATTGATTAAAAATGGTTGCGAACTATTGATTCAATTTATCACAATAGTATATTTTTACATACTGTACATCTCACAGTTAGTAGGCATTTTGCTGAAACCTCTAGCGTATAGTCATATTCGTTAAAACCAAAATGTAGCATCGTCGTGAAGAATTGAATTTGATACTTTCAGAATTTTTCTGTTGCTCAATTGATTCTATTTAGGCACAATATATCTAATTTAACTTTTAGTTTAGTTGTGAAGTATTCAAATTTTGTAGTTTTTATTAAGATATATATCTCCAAAGTCCAAATAATCGGTGATAAATTCGAATTTCGTCTTTATAGCTAATAATGATGATCTTATGTGAAATAAGTTTTGGTCAAAATATTTTTCATTATTGAAACATAAATAAATTCTTACCCCTTCTCCCTCACACAAGTTCTACATTTCTTCTATGAACATGAGGAAAACACTTTTTTTGTATAATATATGATTTTTCTTATTTTTAGGTGTGCAACATCAGCCAACGCTCACAAAGTATATGGCAAATATGGCTCATCAACTGCCTGCGCCCAAGACGGGGAAGGAGCTGGTGGGACAAATGCAGTCTACATGATAATCAGATAAACCTAAATTACAGCCTGTTATAACATCCAGTTATGTTATTCTATGTTGCCAATTTGTGTAACGATTTTTCAGGATTTGTACATCTTTGAGTTCTACAAACCAAGAATACATTGTTATTGTTGAACGTATTTTTATCTTGCCATTTCGTTATATTTTCTTGTTTCATATTTACAACTTATCAATGCTTAAATATATTTACACGTAAATATAGTAACTAGCCAAATTAACGGTAGGCAGCATATGACACACACGGAAATGTTTGATTACTGAATTCGCAAAATTAAAATCAAAGACTTCCGTGACTAGGGCGTTGATACCTGATGGTTCATTAGTTACGTGTATACGGTCGCCAGTAAAATCGAGGTCTTTTGTAGGTCATATTTAATTATTTATATTATTTTATATTAATTTTATTATTGATATATCTCATTGGCGTGCGTCTAAAACGTTTATGAAATGGTAAAATTCAAATAAATATACTGAACAAAAGTGTCTAAGGGTGACCAAATATTTTTATCAAATCAAAAAATTTCAATGAATACGAGATATTCGAATAGTTTAATCTACAGTCCGAGGATAAGCCAGAGCACCGGTCGACTCTCATCTTAATTACTGTTGTTATTGGCGAGAGGGCCAGCCCAAACCCCCGCATCTGTTTTTTAACATTTTCGGGAAACCTAAACTCTCGCTAAAAACGCGTGTTATTTTTGCAGGGCTAATGTTATACAAGTCGCCGGTTGTTTTGGTTAGCTTGACAAAGTTATTTAGTCCGTTAACATCGATATTATGGCAGTAAACTATATTTTTGGAAATCTTCCCATCTCGTTGAAAAAATCGTTTTTTTGCGATCGTCGCCACAAAGACGCTAAATATAATTAAAAGGATGAATCTGCAACTAAAAATTTCCGACTGAAAATAAGGAAGTGATGAATATTAAGACAAAATATTAGCAACATGAACGGAATACACCGTAACCTTTGCTTTAGAATTCCTCCCAGACGAAAAAAAAACGGGATTGCACTCGACTTTTTATCTGATTATGATGATATATATATAAGCTATTTAATCAATGGGAAGTCTTCGCATCGGAGTCTTCGGAGAGCAACCTCGCACCCAATATTGACTTCGAAACACTTAGGCCTACGCGTCTATTCGTAAAAATTACATAATGTTTATTGTCTTTTGAGGATTTACAGTAAATTGAATCGTTGCATAATATTTTGCTTTTGTAGCTTTTATTCAGCACAAGAGTCACCTCTAAGTCTAATAACATATTAAAAGCAGAAGAGAAAAAATCAAAGTGGTAGATAGTATACTCAGCTGTGTACCATCTTGCAAGTGTTATCATGAATTGAAAAAAAACGGAAACTTTTGGAATAAAAGCATCGGTCCCGCCCAAAAAATGTTAACAAATTAACCTTCAGGCCTCTGCCCTGAAACGTTGGCAGATTTACTGCGCGCTGGGCTCAAGTAATAGTTCATCAAAAGACGAATTAGGACCTTTTACATTTTTCGTTTTTTTCTATGTGCTGTCTTTGTTCTTTAATTTTTCCAATTTACTATTGTCTAATCCAGGGGTGGCCAACCTATGGCGCATGCGCCAAACGTGGCGCATTGCATGATTAGAGGTGGCGCATTGCATCTTTAACCCTTTTCATGCCAAAATTGTTAATTGCACTTGGCTTCTCCACGCCAAGCCGTTTTTTTTTGCGATTTACATGGTGACTTTTGATTGTACCTAAACTCTATTCTCCTTACTCCACGTCGCCCACTTACGGCTTGTTGGAATTAGAAACAACAGGCGATTATCGACGTTGACGGACTTTATGACATTCATTTTAGACTTTTAGCAAAAATTAGTGAAATTTACTATTTTTTCCCTACCGGAGTAAAAAGTTCAGAACTTCTGGAAAAATAGAAAATCGTCATTTATCAGCTTGAAACATGGAATTTCCATTGCCCAGACTTCCCAAATATCTCCCAATAACCATTGAACAACCAGTTGAATTGCCCAAGCCTAAAAAATTTATTATAAATCAACCCACAACATGCTGAAAATGACCCCTAAATACCACCTTTTTCATCCAAACTTCAAATGACTGTTGTCAACAAATGACTGTTGTCAACAAAAGCGAAGCGTAAAATCGCTTGCTGTGACGCAATGACTAATCTAGAAGAAGCCTGGAGTAAAATCACGCGACGCTAGGCCAAACAGCTGATTAGCAAAGGCCAATTAGAATCGAGAGTAGAGTAGAGTAGATATTGATACTAAAGGCCTGTTGTCACAATATTTTTAGTTGATGTTACTAGCCATCTCAATGATCTAAATTTGAGACTGCAAGGCAAAAGCAAACTATTTCCAAGCTTAGTAAATGACATTAGCGCATTCAAGATGAAGTTGAAACTTTTCGTTTCCCAGTTGGAAAAAGAAGATTTGTCCCAATTTCCTCACATAAAAAAACACCGTGAATGTGCTGCTGGTAATGGCAATTTGGCAATATACACAGAAAAAATCAAGTTATTGCAAGAGTCATTTGAAAGTCGTTTTCATGATATTTCAAAAGAAGAAGACTCTATACTTGCTTTTATAAACCCATTTTCACTTAGTGAACTAACCATAATGAAGATGCCAAGCAATATACAATTGGAACTAATTGACTTGAAAACTCATCCATCATTGAAAATTAAATTTGATGAGCTTTCTTCAGTCCCAAGTGCATCTGACATGATCAAGTTCTGGCAATCGTTACCCCGTGAAAATTATCCAGAACTGAGAAAATTTGCCCAGGGTTTTATATGTCGTTTCGGAACGACATATAATTGTGAACAAACATTTTCTGCCATGAAACTAATTAAAAGCAAAGCGAGGTCAACACTTACAGATTTAAATTTGAAGAATGCACTGCTCCTCTCAGTAACAAACTTAACTCCAAGAATAAAAAAAAATGGCGAAAGTAAAACAGCAGCAAAAGTCTCATAAAGGCGGTACTTAAATGAAATTGATCGGTTTTATTTATTATACTTCCTTGCTTAATTTCTATTCATGTGAAGTTGTAAATTGTAAAAACTACATATACGTGTGTATATATGTGTGTGTATTATAAATTTATATAATTTCAACAAGAAGCGGACATTAGGCGTGGGAATACAAGAGATTTACGGCGCATCTGAAACATTATGTTTAAAACATGGCGCATGGTATGTGAAAGGTTGGCCCCCCTGGTCTAATCAGTTTGATTATGTCACTCCACATTTAAATCAGTCGTACTAAATTTCCGTCTTGTGTAGTCTACGAAAACTGTACTTTTATGAATGTAGAAATACAAGAGAATTTTAAAACTTGTGCCACAGGCAATTACGTCATACATCAGTTAAAATAAGCTGGTTCGTTTGTTTCGTTAGCAGATTATTTTTTGAATACGTTCACGTTTAGTATTGGAGAGTAGTGAAAAAAATTTAGGTTCTGCGCCAATGATTGCAACTTTACTTGTAAGATACTCTAATTAAACACAAATAGGCAGACAAAACCATTACATATCAATTTCTTGCACTTAACAAATTTTGGCACACGTATGAAAGTTTGAAGACATTAACAGAAAAAAATCAGTTTAAGGCAGTTTGAATCTGTTCAATGTTTCTTCTACATAGATTACTAGCAAGTCATGCAATCAAAATTTGTTACTCTGGAGGGCTTGCTGCTTCTGACGAATGTCCGTTTCAGTCAGGATACTATATCACGCCAACAGACGTGCCAAAGATTGAATATATTTCTAGTAAATATAGTAGTGTTTTCAGCAATTCAGTCAAAGAATGTTCCACGTCGTATCACTATTGTGCCGTATCGCAGTGGTTATTCGAACTTTGTCTTTAAATTCCACCCTTCGCCCATTTTTGAACCCCATATGCCTCCTTCACTGCGCATAAAAACTAATTTATTTATTCAATCTTCAATGGATTATTATTTAGTGTTATGCACAAGTCGATCTCCCGTTTTTTAAATAGTTCATAATGTGTGAATAACGAACCAACGTATCGGCTCAAATGTCAAATTTATTTTCTTTGTTTTTTGGCTTCATTTAGGTCGGACAAAGGGAAGCATCTCCGACAGCAGAGTGCACCAACAAATTGAACACTGGAGGTAAGCTTTATTAATTTGTACTGATTCATACCTTGTAATAAGGCTTAATCGAAATTTAGGTTTCAATTAGAAAAGAACTTGAACTCTTCCCAAATTGCTGAATTACTTAGAACTCTGGTTTAAATGGCTAATATATAGGGTGTTTCCAAAAGTAAGTGGAAGCTTTTCCGTTACTTTTCTCTTGCTTTTCATGTACCTCATTTCCTGGGTCAATCTCCTTATCATTCTGTAGGTTAATGAAAAATGCAAACAATACCAAATTTTACTACTCATCCATACTATATTTTCTAAAGAAGTGATCGCTCTATGATGAGTACATGAAAAGCAAATCAAAATTGAAAGCGCATAATTACCTTTGAGACACCCAGTATTTCCTAAACCCCACTATATAATGTTTACCAATTCGGGGCAATGTACGCGGATCTCATGAAAAATCGAAAAATTTACACTTTTCAAACATTAGCAGCATGTCTTCACCCGAGAGGGGCGATATTTTATTGTTTCATTTTAATAAGGTTCCACATCTCTTTACCATACGATTTGTACAAATTTTCTATTTTTGCGCAATCCATTGCTGAAAAAGCCTATTTCGTATACATCGGCATAGGTGAAAAATCAATAAAATATACACTTTTGAAACTTGTGTAGCATGTCTTCTTCGGCTAAAGATGAGCGAGATTTTACTCCACTACACAATACAATGTGAATTTATGGGTACAAAGTTTTCTATTGATACGATTTTTTTTTTCGAATTTTTACCTTTGTTGATATATATGAAAAATAGGCTTTTTCCAGCAATAAATTACGCAAAAATAGAAAATTTCGTACCCATCGACAACTTAAATTGTATGATACAGAGTGTAGAAACCTTTTCAAACACAAACAATAAAATCTCGCACCTTTTGGGCGGAAAGATATGATGCCGAGGTTTGAACAGGTTTGAATACATTTGGAATTTGAATTACTCACTAAATCAGGAATATTTTCAAATGTTAAAATACTATTTACACATATTTCATTAGGCTCATTAATAATGGTTATTGTAAAAGATACTCTCTTTCCTGTGTGAGGCTTGGAACCAAAGGTCAGTGAAAATCGTACATTCTTTTTCACATAAAGTAAATGACAATGCAGTGAACAACGTAATAGTAACAGAAAATAGAAACTGGCAATGAATTGTGATTAGGATACTGTCCCGAAGTCGAGAGAGCTAATCTATAGTCGCTTCTCTAACGATCGTGAACGTCCTAATACTCAATCGGCTCTTCTTTACTGTACATATGGACTCTTCATGATATCAATCATGTATTTTGACTATCGATTCTCCCTGTAATAAAAACAATGTCAATGAAACACGTATTCCGGTAGAAGTATATTTACCAACATAATAAAATTTCGCTTTATGTCAAACGATTTATCTTTTACTAAAGCTTTGTTTGATTAGTAACACAAACATTTTATTAAGTTTATTTTTGCAAACATTGATAGATAGACTACTTGCTGAATACCACGGAAAAGTTCTTATATATATATGCCAATTTTTTAAATCCAGTCAAATATGCATCTCAGCACAGAAATTTTCTGTAGCGAATTATACCTGTGAGTTTTCCAAGTTGTTCGCAAAATTTGCGAACGTTTCCTCATCTAATCCACATTGACGAATAAACAGTGCTTTCAATTGGCATTTTTCGACGAGTTTGCGTAAGTCACGAAGTCCCCATTTTCCCATATTCCGATTATGACTTACGTTTAGAATATTTAGCTGGAAATAAAAAGATGTTAGCAATCAGAGGTAATTAAGTGTACGGTGCTATTTTGAAATTGAAATAATACCTTAACAGCTTCTAGGCTCATTTTTTAATGCTTGTTTTGATTGTAAAAATCGTTCATCTTTCAATTTACACTAATTTATTTTTCAATACTTGTTATGAAAATCTAGACTTCTCTCTGCCGACCATGCAGTTTTAAAGGGGCGTATTACTCATTTATTCTCATATCAAGAGTTGAATCATTTTAATCACTAGCCAGTTGGTTTCGACTTTATATCTATTATAAAATACTATCATTTAACGTAATATTATAAAAAAAAAACATCAACAGGGATGGAATGGGATTAGCAACGTTCTCTTGATATACTGGATCTTCGATGTGATCGAAGTATTGTCATATCGCTTTGGGGCTTGGAGATATTAGTTATGTAGAAAGAAAGCTGTGGTCTAATTTTATAAGCATCAAATTTATTGAGTGCTTTTTAGAAATGAAACTTTAAAATATATAATTTGCTGATGCATTAGATTATTTAAAAAATTATTATTATTAAACGCGTCACATTCACGGTATTTATGAAATGCACCGATGCAGACTTGTGAGTAAGAATTCCAAATACGCTATTATATTTTTATTTAAGAGCCGAGTTACAAAAGCTCTCTTTTTACCAGGTTTCATTGTACAAATCTCTTAAAAAGAGAAAATTCAATGCCATGTATATTTTAACAACTAGTAACGAAAAGCTTTAACTATGACTATTCCTGTATATAACAAATAAATAAAAAGTGGTAATATGCTCATAATATTTTATACCACAGTCGTGTGTGTTGCATCTTCAAAACTTCTAATTTGCTGTGATGATATATTACAGTCACTGATATCGAGTTGTTCGGTTTTGCACACGTCACTAATTTGTGCAAGCTCGACGAAACCATCATCTCCCAATTTATCGTTTCCACTTATGTTGATCTTATCTAATTCTGCTGCCTCCTGTATTACATTTGGAAGTGAAAACATTGAAAATAAAAGAAGCAAACTATTAAAACGAAGTTATTCAAGACTTGCGTTTATTGCGTAACCATAAAATTTGTGTCAATCATTGGACACTACACAAAACCTCATCGGTAAAAAGTTGGTTGGTTTTATAAATTAGATGTGAGTTTTACTAGCAATTACTTTGTTCATAATATTCAGTCCGAAAATTATAAAGTATTAATTTCTGCAATGTAAATTACTTTAATGAACAAAGAAGTGGAACTTTGACATAAGTCTTATTAAGAGGAAAAAAATTCATTGCTGTGCGAAAATGGGCAGTGTATATTTTGTTAATTATCACAAAGTTTCATCTTTCAAATAAAATGGAAAAGAAGAAAGCAAAATATTACGTTTCTTACGCGTAAAGAAAACCTTAAGCTTTTCAACATTCCATTGGTCAGATTGCAGTATTTCATGATTAGCTCCTTGATTTCACAGTTCTGAATAATCCAGCCAACTTGTTTCATACAACTTTCGGTCAAATTGCTGTTTCGACTCAAATCAAAACTAAAAATCTAGAGATAAAAGAGTTTTATACAATATTATACCTAAATAAAAATATGGCTTCTGAGATTTTTGTATGGTTTCATCAGAATATAGACGGGACTATGTGTTCCCCTTTTCCAATATTATTCTACAAACAAACTCAACCATGCATTTTGGCAGATCTGTTTAGCAAATTCCAAAAAGCCTTCCATAAAGACGCTTTTCAACATGCGCGAGTAACGAAATTTTGAATCCGGAATGGGAAAGCTAGTGGATCAATTTCTTTTCTCTCTTCCCGTTCTTTCTCTGTCAGTTTAGGTATGTTACGTTTCTAAAATTGGTATGTCATTTTCCGGCATTACGTATAGTTACGTATAATGAAATATTATCAGTCCTTCACTCACCATTGAGCGATCAAGAGATACTCTAAGTTGTGATAATTTGTCTTCCGTCAATGAGCAGGATGTTACGGCAAGATTCGCTGCTTTGAACTTTCTAGTAATTTGGCCAATTTTCATCCATCCTTTTGGTTGTATATCTGGTGTTAGGAACACGTTAACCATTTGTATCTGTTAACAATGTATAAAAAAAAACAGAACGAATTGTAGTATATAGACTTTATGCAAGATTTTATAAGTGTCAAGCTAGTAAATATAGACCAAAATCCTCACCATGATTTCAGCCCAGTACAATAAAATTTTTGCTTCAAACCTAGTAGATCCCTATGAACAAAGATCTTGGTTATTTTGAACCTTGCCGGAAGTAAAAATCGGCAACAAAAAACGAACCAAAACTTCTTATCGACAAGGAAAGCAATTGCTGCTTGTCTCTAGCGTAATACTTCCCCGTTAGCTATAAAGTGCATCACCCCTAAACCATGAACCTTTAAATAGGAACTAAAAGATCATCAGAAGTGAACGTTAGCATACTTGTACTGCACCTAAGATCTATGGTTAAACTATCAAATATCCACCGACTCATAGTACAGTTCCACTCTGTGGATTATTTGAAACAAATGAAAAAAATGAAAAAACCTCTTGATCTGGAATAGCTTGCATGATTTTGTCCAATTGCTGCTCAGTCAACTCGCATTCAGATATTTTGAATTCTCCTATTTTTTCACATTTTTTTAATAAGTCGCAAAGATTTCTCAAATCTGATGTTCTCTCATACTCTGTTAAACTCACATTGAAAATGTCCTGTCAAATATTGTGGAAGCAGATTCAAAAAATAGCGTACATCTTAGTTGTTTTGTATTATGCTAGACGACAAAACTCAGTGCCTTGGATATGCTTAGTGCCAACTCAGGTTAGATGATTGCGATAAAATACTTGCTCATTCAAGATAACATTTGAAATCCCATGTCACCGTGTGAATTGGAGAAAATCGAAATTACAGAAATCCCAGAGCCAATAGATATTTTAAGGATAATTGATTGGGGAAAAGAAGCTCTAACAATATGACCAATTCATAAAATAAACGTCGGGAATTGATTACTCCGCGTGGGTCCACAGGGCCAAATCTCATGCGGGGATAGCTATGTGCGAGAGAATTACTGGGTGCGGTGCGCCGGCCCAGGGTGGCTCACGTAACCGCTCGTTGGTTGCGGCCTCCCTCACCATCAAGTCCATGCTTCCGAAAACAAATAACTCGTTGAATAATCCCATACCCGACATGAACTGGTACCGGACGTGAGGCCGTGGTTCGCCATATGATTAAGCCGTCGTATCGGCTTTCTTCTCCTCCGGGATAAATATGCAAATGCTATCCTAGTTAATTTAATATTTTATAGCAATTTCATACCATTGAGTTTGCGTTGATAACCAATTCTTCCAATGTTTGAATGTGATTTTCTGTGTTATATCTGCTGAAATCCAGTATATTTTGATCATTAAACATGATTTCAATTTCCTGTTCTTCTTCAACATTTTGAATTGAGACTTCTAAACCAGTTACCTGTGAAATATTATATCTATGTACCTTATATAATAACTTAGTAGGCCTGTATGCTTTATTGTAATATTCATTGAAATTTTAATAACTTATTTTGATATGAGGATAATGGAAGTAAAGCTTAATTAATACAAACTCTAGAAAAATAATGTAGCTATGCTCAAATATATGTACACGAAGTCCGGTACGTGGATACAATGACATTTTTCGCTAAGTATCAGCATTGTTTGCTTTATAAATTTTAAACTAATAAGGTTGCACATTATTTTTTACATACTGAAAATAAGTAAATTTAATGTATTTTAATGTACAATATAGATATCCTAATGAGGGATATGTTAGAAAATTGCAACTGAATTGCTTAGAAACGCCTTTTCTTACGCTTTTCGCTTAGTATCAACATTGTTTTATATATTTTTAACTGATATAGATGCGCATTATTTCCCAAATTCCAGAAATAATTAAATTCAATATACTTTAGAGTAATGTACAATAAGAGTATTTATACTCCTAATATAATGATTCAGATTTTAGAAAACTGCAATTTATTTTAAAGATACCCTTTTTGATTTTTAGTATATATCAAGATCTAAATCTGTTGAAGTTAAATGCTCATTTTCTTTGACATTTGTATAATAATTAAATTTCAGGCTTTCTAATATAAAGTGATGAAATTTCCTTCAGTACTGGTCACTTACATATTTCGCACCATACGCTGTAATGAACTTTAATATTTTACTAATTTCTATGTGAACATTGTTTTGAATTGTGGGTAAAAAAAATTCGCTGGGATCACGACGGCTTCTATAACAGCAAACTACCGGTAGCAATCGTCATGATGTCATAAAACGTGTTCCTTCCCATGGATATGAATAAAACAGCGGAATTTCAGATGAAATATCATAGAGAATTTAGAAACAAATGAAATAATATCGAAAAATACAATCTTTAATCTTAAAGAGTCAAAGTAATTGTACCAGTAGTTAATGAAAAAGGCGATTTTTTTATACAGTATAACAACCATAAGAAAATGACTAACAACATAATAACAAAACGATCTTTGGGTCCATTTCGGGTTCAATTAACATTCACGGCAGTATTTGTTATACCTGCGGGTTTTGTTTAAAATCCTGTATATCAGATTTTCTAAAACCACACTGCCAACAATGAAATTTTTGAACACGGGTGTAAATTTTGTGCAAGTAATACATGCTGTTTTTAACAAGACGTCGATTGAAGCACACGTCAAATTCCTCAATCTAAAATATAAAAGCGTTAATAGAAATTAAAAGATCTGAATCATACCTTTACTCTGCTATGCTTATTTTGCAACCATTGTATGTTTACTGGTAACTGTGATCAGAACTATTTAAATGAAAACTATGATAACATACATTATAGTTACACCTTCCTCTGAAGTTTATTTATGGGTTGCCTTGGAACATGCTAACTATTTTAAATGCATGTTAAAGCAACTGCAACTTTCCAAGCAAAGTAGAGCTTGTTTGGGACATCAAAAATTCTAGAAGTGAATACGGGCCCACTTTGCCAACTCCATGCTAGCACTAGGACAATCAAAATTGCATATGTCCATGTCAAATGGTGGTAAAAGTCATATACAGAAATATGTATATACACAACAAATTAATTATACGTATTTACATTATATTGTTTACATTTGATGCCGTTAGTTGTAAATATTTCTTACAATTCAAGAGATAACAGCATAAACGTAAAGTACCTGCACAGGCGATTCTCCTAGACCATCTGATAAAACCTTAAGACTATAGGCATTCAATTGGCAATTATCTAGCGCCAATATGCGGAGTCGATCACAATGAGAGGTAACACTTCCTACTGCATGAAGATCACTTGTTGTGAGAGGAATTCCAGACAAGCTGATCTTTTTTATATTTGTCTTCGCCCATTCTACAATTCCTTCGTTCGTTCCACACTCACAAATCGAGATCAACAAATTGAGCATTTGCATTGGTGGAATATTTTCACCATTTAAATCCTTACGTAGAGACTCGAGCAAATACTCTTGCTTTTGTGTGATATCACGTGGTTCATCTAAATCAATATGAAAACACTTGATTAGTATTGCCAGCCACGACAGTACGGCCGTGCGTGAATAAATTTATTGATATTACCCTAAATTTATTAGTTTCTGTAGAAAAGAAAGAAATGTTGGTTGTATAAACCGTGAAAGTCTTTACAAAAATATGTATATAAATTTCTTCTTTGCTAAATAATATAGACTCACCTTCGATTAAATTCATTTTAGCCGTACTTTTGTTAAATATTAAACCACATAACATTTGTCGAACAACAACATGAAGCTGAGTACTGATCTGTTTATCAATTAGTTCTTTGTACTGTAATATAGGAAGATTAGCCAGTTCACATGCCGCAAGAAGTTCTTGAATAGTTTGATGAACGAAAAAAAATGAGTAGTCTTTTTCCAGCAAATTCTGATCACAAACCACATTTTTGGCTGGAGTCGGGACACTGATTACGAAATCCTTGATTACATCAACATCTATCTTATTCCTTTGAATATCATCCCTGGTGAAAACATATTTTCCCCTTTTCAAGCCATCAAGTGAAAGTTTCATCAGATTTTTCATTATTTGATCAACGTCTTTTTTGCTCTTAAGATGTTTAGATCGCGTATGATTCTTTAGTATAGTGAGTATGAGCCCTGAAAGATTTTCAGGTATATCTTCACCATTCAAGTACACGACAATCACAAATATTAGAAATAATGGAGTAGAGCAAAGATGCATAAGCTCGAGTGATTTTTTTAACATAGATTCCAAAGTGATGTCTCCAGTGTCTCCACTGATTTCTTTTACTAAGGTCACGATGGAATTTTGTGAAAGTCCTCCGAGGGCGATTGTCGCATCTGGCTTTATGTAGTGTGAAAATTTGTTTATGGCGTATTCTCTCGATGTTAACAGTATTTTGCATCCTGGAAATATATTTCGATAAAGAATGTTGTAGATGATGACAGGTACAGTCGCTTTTTGATCCCAAGAAATCGGATCATGAAAATTGTCGCCACTCAAAACCCATGGAGCTGTATCCAATCCATCCAACAAAAGCAGAAATTTTTTCTGATTTTCAGGCTTCTTAAGCCAGTTAAATCCACATTCCTCCGCAACGTCACTTTCCGCCACGTTGAATACAGAAAACAATATTTCTCGTGGAGTATATTCTCCATATTTTAAAGACCAATCTTTGATGTTTATGTAATGAATCATTTCAATTCCATTCATGTTTTCGATTTTGCCATCTAACACCAAAAGACAATACCGTTTGAGGAGGGTCGTTTTTCCGCTCCCTGCTCCACCTATCAGAACAATAAATCTTCCATGAGAATGTATGGATTTAAGTTGAACCTCGACTTCTTTTTTCTTTTCTTTTTCCGGAAGTCTATCTCTGTTATTTGTAGCTGAATACTCGACTTCATTTAATGCACAACCGCCACGAAAAAAATTTGTTTTTGATAGTTTTGGAACAACTTCTACTTCTGGATCATTCAAGTCGTTTCTGAAAGGTCTCAAAATTGTCGATTCTGAAAGACGGCGGGATCTCTTGTTCACACCATCGATGAACTTTCTCTCGAAGATTGCTTTAGAAGAAAATGGTAAAAAATGTTGATACGTATAGATATAATGAGAATAGTCAACCAGGTAATCGGGTTTCAAATAGTTAACGGTTACAATTAGTTTATACCGGTAACGGTCACGGTATTTTTGATAGTGGATATAAAATTTCATTCAACAATATTGTATTCAATCAAATTAACATAATATATATGTTTCGGCTATGGTGCCAAACGCTTCAAAATTGTAACATTCCAATGAAAGTTTATCAGATATTTTACATGTAATTTTTTGAATTAAAAAATTCCAAAATAGCTGGCATATCTCTTCTGAAACTTTGTGCAACGAGAACAATTTTGAGCAGCAGCAAATATGCGAATCGTAAGGTAACAGGCCTAATATTATAATACCATCGCAAATTTAGGCCATGTTGCTTTATACCACGATTTTGGCGGCGATAGCGGTTAGCAAAATGTAATGTGTGAGGTAGTTTGCAATAAGCTTGATTTTGATTAGTGGTTTGATTTGCGGCAGAATACCTATATAGATATATGCGATTAAAACGGTCAAGGATGTTTGAATATAATAAATCAAAAATTGATTAATACCTAAATATATATATTTTTACTTACTATACCAAATATGACCCGACATGAACAGCTGACTTTTTTATTGTACGTCGATCGACGACAAGATTGCCGTTGATCGATATACAATAAAAAAATTCACTATTCGGAACATGGAAAGTATCTCCTAATTTACCAAAGAACAAGCGAATTACTGAGCCAAGATGAGATTATTGCAAGAAATAATTTTTTTTCATTCAATTCCTCAATATAGTATTTTTGGAAGACGAATATAAACACTCCGTCAATTTAAAAAATCCACCGTGTGGAAAATCCTTAATTTATCGAAAAGAGAAACTTTAAAATATATAATACGTCAGAGTTCAATTTTATCAATACAAGAAATAATTTTTCTCATTCAATTTCTCAACACAATATATAGAAAACAATTATGAATACTTGCTAAATATCCAAAAAATTTCACCTTGCGTAAAATACTAAATTTTGCCTCAATTTATCGATAAATTGTCAATATAAGTTAAGATTTGATTAATTACTTTTTGTCATTCATTTCTCCAACGCAATAAAAAGGCTCAAGAATTGTCACAATTTCATACGCGATGGACAGCCGCACTCTTTGTTGAATTGGTTAGTCACGGTGTGCTAAGAGAAATTTTCTTAATTTTTTAAACTTAAATAAAAAACACTAAATTAAAATGATTTTAATTTAGCAGTACTTGCCAAATAAATATGCTCTTTGATATGGACATTATCTGTACTAGGCATCTCTAACTGTCGCTAGAGTTGGACATAATGATTTGGAAGATTTCGATTGAATTCTCACATCAATTTTTTGGATATTTAGTACAATGTATACTTTTTAACCAACAGAATATATATATATGTAGCTTTAAGTAGGTATTTGTTGTCAGCATTGGCAACATTCAGGAAAATAGTTACATAATAAAATGTTGGATATATATGAGGACTTTACCAACGTTCTCTTTAGTAAGTCGACCATCTGGAGAGAAAAACTGTGCCCGATCAATATGGGCATGCTCAATCCTATTAACGATTCCCCTCAAATCTCCACCTAAGAAAAAAAATGAAAAGATTGCTGCACTAGGAGACACGATGATCTAATTAATAGTAGTTACATTTTAGGCAATATGGGGGGGCAGAATGAGTTTTGTTTTAAGGTTCCGGTCTCATTGTAATTACTGGGGATATAGCTACGGATAAAAAACAATTCTTTTTTGGACCTCTTGAAGTATGCACAACTAGATGGCGCACAACCTTAACTCAGGTTGTGTACCAGGTTAGCATTCAGGTTGTGCGACATCTTGATGCGCATACTTCAGGAGTTACCTCTTTTTTATATCAAACATCGCAGCTAGCTCTAGAAATATTCAATCGGGCTTTTGCACTAGATAGTAAAACCCACGTAGCTAATTAGAAGGTGGCATAAACAGATAATACTTAACATCAGGGTTACCAGAACAGCGTGCGGCAACAAGTAAGAATGTCAAATTTTCAGACTAAGCAAAAATATTTATAGTTTGCCTATCTAAAAAAATCGTTTAACAAAAAATTATTTTATTTTTCTCTTATATTATTGAAATTGAATAATAATTCTAAACAAACTAAACTTCGCCAAAATACTGCACGTAATTATACCGTAACATAATGTTACCGAAATTACAAAATTTAAGATTATTTTTTTATCGGGTTGTAATCCAAGATCTATTAGCCACGTCGTATAAATATTGGGTACGCTCTAGCTAAGGTATAACAGCTTGCGTAAGCGCTGTCTGACTGGAAAGTTACGAGGTTTATTGATAACTTCTCTCATGTGTCGGGTACTGACCCATTCTCCACATGGGCTAATCTGAAAAAAATGTCGGTGAACAACGGTATAATTCGTATTTTATGGGGTCGAGAGTTTTCGCCTAGGCAATATTTGGCCACATGAGGTGATGAATAAATTTTTATAAAAACCATCGTATGAATAACGGGTTGATCATATTAAAGTTATAACCTGGCCATTCGACGTCGCCTGCACCATCTCCCGCCATCTTTTATTCGTTTATAACAGTATTTATTTTGATTGTTATTGCTGCACAAGTATAACTATCAATACTCAGCATGTAACCTATATTTCAGTGTATAAATCATAAGCGGGCATACAACATACGATGGGCTAAAAGTCAGCTTTTCGCCAAGACTGGAATGTATGAAGTCTTTGCTGCTAATCCGAGCGCTATACAAACAAAATAGTTTAGATAAACATAAAAGGTTCAGACCTATGTGCTATCTGAAAACTGTACGTGGTTGGATCGGTACTCATTCTTGTATCATATTCTGCGATATGACATTCAATTGTTACTAGAACTAAGCTGCAAATGACGAAAACTAATTGACAGTAATTGGGTACACATACAATAGGCCTGTCTCTTTCGAATACGACAACAATCTCACCGCTACTACTTTACGTCTGTTAACAACACGCAATGGCGTCGCGTCAACCACCGTTGTTAACGGGCCTATTGTAAATATATTTCCATCGCCATTCGATATTTCTGTATCGATACATCAGGTATTTTATGCATGATTGCTCAACAAAGAATGTCCCAGATATCAACGTTGACTATGTTTGCGGTGACCGATAAAAACAGAAGTTTGATAATTGTATTCGGGTGGTTGAATGAGATTAAAAAATAAGGATAGGGTCGTAGCTGCTGAACTTTTCGAACTTCTGTGAAGAAAATGACCCCAATATCAAATCTAACACATTTTTCTCTCAACAAAACTGAAAGTTCATAGTAGAACATAATACCATCCAAAATCGTTTTTATTTGGATGAAAACGGGCAAAGCAATAACATCCTGATTACAAAAATAGAGTCTATTCGTACATAGATGAAAACCACAGGCCACAAATATACCAAATTAAAAAGCCTTCATATTCACAACAAAATTTAATATTCGCCTCCTAAATTTCAAACCTGCCATGAAAATGTATATTGATTTAATGGCTCATACAAATTCAGTTTTGCGAAATTCAGTGGTATATCTATATTCGATTGTTATTTAATGTGCATTTCGTAATCAGAGTTTCAGTAAATAATCTAATTATACATTCGTAAACAAAGGGCTCGGAACGTCATCAAACTAACATCGGAGACTCTAGTTCAGTGATTCTCAAACTAGGGTTTGAGAGCCGCATGCGGCTCTCAACAACCTTCCCTGCGGCTCCCGCTAATGTTTTAAAAATTAATTATTTTTAAATAAAATTTTTCATTGAAAACTAATCAATGACTCGAAATTAAAATGCTGAAGTCTATTAGTTAGTCGAATAGATTCCCCCGTGTTTATTTGCGTAGCGTTGACTAACCTACAAGATACAAAAGTGACGCAACAGTGAGCGTTTTCGCGGACACTCGGGACACTTTTCGCTTGGAAAGATTTCAGACATGGCTGTAATCATTGGCTTGCTTTCGTGGATTCTCAGTTTGTGTCGCATTTCCAGATCTTATGTATAAATCAAATAACTCAATGATTATTTTAATTTCTAGAGCATTTTAATTTTGTTCCAGAAATCGAAAATAGTCCCGAAAAATCGATCGGCGATCATCTCAAGCAGCTACTGCACCTTGCATCCTCCACGATTACGACCCGTTTTGACAAACTTATCAGAAATCAAAGCCTAATTAAATCAAATAAAAAAATCGAAAAATTTTTCGAATCGAATAATTTGAATATTTTTTTTTATACATAACAGGGATCCAGAACGTCGGAGGCCGATAGTCCATTTGGAAATTAATAGAAACATTGAAAAGTCGGCAATAAAGCGTTTTTTAATGGTTAATTTTATCATAATGGCTGATCGTCTTTGTCACCGCGATCGTTTTGGCGGCGATATCCTAAAGTTGGTATTCTATATTTCCGCCCTTTCTCGTTTTTGCAAGAATAAGCGGTCGCCGAATATCGAAATTCCATAATTCTAGTATACCCTTGCGTTCTCATCAGCGACAGCTGTTGAATACATTTAAGGACTGATTTCAAAACCAAATTAATTCTATTCTGAGTTTTATCCTCTGCCTTGGATTTGATCTTTCTTATCACCGCTTGTAAATTAACCGCGCCTGTTTTAAGTGAACGGTAACCGAGATGCAGATATTTATTATAATGATAATTGAGTTTCTCATGCTTTTCTATGGTGTTATTTTAGTATTAGATAGATAAACCTAGCAAATTTACGAATGCGTGAATCCTGAAAGCTGATTTAAAATAGCGATTAAATAAATTGTCAATAAAGGCATTTTTAGACCTTTGTGCCTAATAGAGTGTCAGACTCTAATTGTACCTGATTACTTCAAGTTTTAACGTTTTTTTTTCAACAAAACAACACCCCGATGGTTATTATAGCTAAAATACTTACTCAGTAATGCTCAATTTTCTTTACGGAATTTGCAAATTCAGCACTTCACTTGATGATTTTGATTATATCATGCCTTATGGCTTAATTATTACTGCCCAAATGCTTCAAAATTTAACAATTGTAATCATTTTCGATGATAATAGACGCAACAATTTGTGAACGAGTCAGTGTGCATTGTTACAACGAAATTCACGATTGATTTTACGTTCTACTCTGGGCTCAACTTGGCTCGACGGCCATGCATGGTCGAGTAAAACGTTTACATATTCGAAAAATTACTTGGCAAAGGATGGAAGGGATCACTAAAGAGCTAATACAAAGTGCTTTAAAGGGAGTGGGACATGACATTTCTTATCTGGTTACAACTTAATGAATTTTTCCCAGCTTTTGGAAAAACTTTTGGTCATTTTTTAAATCCATGCCATTTACATAACTAGAGTGTTTTAACGACCTAAAATCGCCTTTTTCACAATGAAACGCCGAAATGTCATTTTAACATTTAATTTTAAGCAACTTTATGTTCAGTAATGCAAGAAATGGCTAATGACATGTCACCAAGCATGCCGAGTTTAAATCTGGGAAATTTATTTTAAATACCTAATCTGGTTTGACGTTTCTAAATTTACGGAACGGTCGGTACGTTTTTTTTTGCAAAACGATGAATTGAAAGGATACCATAAGTGCAAAAATAAGCATATAACACCATAACGCAAAGACAACTTTTCACAGCAAAGCAAAGCGGCGCAGGTCACGTAATACCAGATATTCAAATAGCAAAATGCCATTCGAATATTTTATTATTCGAATATTTGGCCCAGCCCTAGTTGTTACGTGTTGTTGTTACGATGACTTGGTATTTTAATTACGCGCTTAAGGTTTGTTGCTATTTTACCTTGCGTTGTTTGTGTGCGGCTCTTCATACCTTTGAGGTTTGAAATGCGGCTCTGGGACTAAAAAAGTTTGAGAACCGCTGCTCTAGTTTATTCTAGAATCAACATATTCATTAAATTAAGAGAACACTAATATTTGTCTAGATTGTATTCTAATTGTATTCATGCGATATGTATGTTGCTCTATTTGGCTTACAAACAATTGTGTGTATCGATTGGCAGATACTTTGCTAATCAATGATACTTTGAACTAGCAGTATGAAATTACTGCAATTCTTATATATATAAAAACCGGTTCTTAAGTTAAGTGCTTTTATTAAAATTATAATCAGAATACCTCATGATATGTTTAGTGTTGCATATGCGTTGCGCTGTTTGAACAGAAATTAAATGATTGAAGTGAACATCCCCGATTTTTTAAACGATAGTAATTTCCTATAAGCATGAATGTGTTTTGGAATTGCGATACGTTGAAATCATGTTGTCACCCATGCACAATACAACAGAAATTTAGTTCAACGATAGCTGGAATTGCACAGGAAGTTTTGATAATATTGTGTGGTTCCCAGCACCATATGCTATACCGGAGGTTTCCAAACCTTTCAACCTGGCAGACCGTTAAAATTGAATAAAATGTACTAGCGAATTGACAAAAAACTGAAGTGAATGGAACATAAAATAATACCATAATATATTTGCGTAATAAAATGCAGAGCTGGGCACCTGTTAGGCGGTAAAACGGCACACAGAAAACATTTCACATGAAAAAACATGTAGCTACATGTCAAATTATGTACAGACACAATAAAATTTAGTGAGAATTTTGATGCTGTTTCGTTTCTAATATAAGGTGCAAACGAGGCATCAAAGAAGTTTCTGCAAATGTATGCATCCGCGACCAGCCATTTCTTTGCTTTGTTTTGATCAAAACTAAGGATGATGATAATTTGAATTGCCATGAATTGAAATAAGTTAAAATAGAGTTTATGAATCAGGCATGATCACACACTCGGGAGTTGGAAATATTAGTGATTATTGTTGTGTTAGGCAACGTGTCTTTTTCCTGCAGCCCATTCCCATTTCTTTTAAATATTTACCATTTGTCGAAAAATTTCCGCATAATTTTGGTACTATGGTTTTAAATTAAATTGGTTCTGTGACGAATCAAGCAGGGCTGCCAAAACGACCTTATTTCTAAGATTTTGTTTTTATTTTGAAGGTCTTTCTCTTACAAAATATTTTTCCCTCATTTCTAAGAAACATCTATACTGAGCAACTAGGCTGATGCCACTGCTCCCGTTGTGAATAAAATTTATCACACTACTCTTGGAGTAAGACAATAACTTTCGCACGGTGCAAAAATTTTTGAAGGATCGTTTGCCAGTTAACCCACACGATATTCTGCAGGTTCATTTTTAAAATTCGGCAGTAGGGAAACTTGCATTTGTTACGTAATAATATGCTCTATCGGGCTTGTCCGCACCCAATTACTGCATGTGTATATCGTATTTTGGCTTGTACAGTACTATATTCTTCCTGTTTTAAAACACACAACAGTCGCATTATGAAACCGGTTTAAGGCAATTTTTTAGTCTATGTTACTAAAGTTAATCAACATCAGACGCGATCGACTATCCGAGACGTCGCCTAATGAAAACGACAACATTTCCGAGTAGCGACCCGATCCAGCATCCGAAAAACGCATCCAATATAACATGTATCTCATTTTTGTTTGTGATACGAAGGTTTTTTGTTACTACATATTATCATTTAAATTAAAAATTAATAATTTGTAAATGGCTGACGAAGATTGCTGATATGATCAATTGCGTTGATAGGGATATTCGATGATAAAGCCGGTGTTCGGCTTTCTAGCTCGAATTTACTAGCAATACTCTTCTGGAATTTTCACCTTTTGATATTATTTTATATAGCATTGAAGCAAAATAAATATTAAACACGACTTTTTTTGGTCTGGAAGTAATTAGATGTTAATAATATTAAACGAAAAGAACTAAGTACTTTTCATAGACCCACCAGCTTATCCTTGTAAAAATATAAAATCAATAGAATTCACATTCATTATCCATAGTGTGTTATTTCGTATACTTTGTTATTTCCACTTTCACTACATTTTCGCTTTGGTGAAATATTAGGTGGGTAGCGA